CGCCAGCATTTGTTGTTTGTTGATTTATTGATGATAGCCATTCTGACCGGGGTGAGGTGGTATCTCATTGTGGTTTTAATTTGCATTTCCCTAATCACTCAGCAATTGTTTGTGGAAGGTTTACCGCATGCAAGGCACAGGGAGGATGAAAAAAGAACGAAGCCTTTTCTCAAGGGCTCTCTCTCTTCAGCAGGCAGATGGCAGGTAGATGCACAAGTCTAACAGAAGCCAAAAGAAATCTATAAATGCTGTAATAGTTCAGAGAGCGGGGCCACCCCTTCAGGCTGATGTGTTCAGGAAGCCTTTAGTAAAAGAGCATAATATATACATTGGGTTGTCGGAAAAGTCATGATGCATTTTTGCAACGAAAAACATAGAAAAAATACATCATGACTTTTCCAACAACCCAATAGAATGTTACAGCCGGAGGGACCTGAGGAAATCCCATTCTAGTCTGGTCATTTTATAGACAACAACAACAAAAACAGAAAAGAGAAGAAAAAAGAAAACACCCTGTAAGGAGGAATAGCAATTTACCCACTATCACATAGAGAGCTGAGAAAATCTGACAAGAAGGCAGGTCTCCGGGTTTCAGCTTTTCCATGATGCCACACCCACTCTGGGGCTGAAAGGGCGTCAATAGGCAAAGACGGGAAGACGAGAACGTGCTGACAAGGAACGAAGGCTGGTTAAAACGCTGCTAAGAGGTAGGTTTGGAAAGCTGTGGTTAGCTAATCTGAGGACAAGAGTCTGAGGGCAGGAATGCAACACTGGGCTGCAGGCAGAGTGGCAGCAGGAAACGGAGGACGTCAAAGGGCAGCCTAAGAGAGCTGGACTTTTTCACCAGATAATTTAATGGACACGGGTAGCAGACTCTACTTAACAAAATTTGCAAGTTCCTTCAACATTGGTGTTATTATGATAGGACACTGACAGTCTTAGAGGTTTATAAGAAAGAACACCCTTCTAATATTAACTAAACGTACCAAGTGTATACCGAATACAGTCTCCCTGTGTCCACTTTTCTCTCAGTGACAGGATCGGGGTAAAAGAAGGCAAGATGCCGTGGGCTGCTGATGGGGGGTGCAGTGCGAGGCACTGACTTCCAGGCATCTGTCTGTGAGCGCCGTGCCTCCTGCCTGCTTCTCCTGAGGTTATTCACCCCGCAGGTTGTACCTGCTGGTTCCTGAGCCAGCCCAAGGCCAGCCCGAAAGTGGGGGTGGTCTCCCATCCCTACAGATGCTGGGGTCCAGCCCTGCCCTGCACAGCGGTGGCTACCCTTCACTCCACCCCACTGCCTCACTCGGCCCGAGGGCCTTCTTTTCTTTGGGGCCGGAAATCCGGAAAGAGACTGGGGGCAGCATGCCAGGTAGGACTTTTCAAATACAGTAAGTCCCCGACTTACGACCATTCAAGTTGCGAACTTTCACAGGTACGAAAGGACCTCGCATTACGAACATTCGTAGATGCGAACAAATCGCGGAAGTACCTCAAGCGTCTCCCGGACATTGTCACAGATGTGCTGCTGTGTGCTCACTGTACAGTGTGATAGTGTGCAGTAGTCCAGTGCTCAATCAGAGCCCAGGATGTCCGGAAGCAAGAGGAAAAGCAGTGGTGATTGGAGGGGACTGCTAGGAAGCGCAAAGCAATAACCATGGAAACAAAGGTGAAAATAATTGAGAGATTGGACCGAGGCGAAAAGATGGTAGACATCGCTTGTTCTTATAACATGAATTGTTCAACCACTGGCTTTACATTGCATATTTGTGTCCAAGGTATATAAGACTCACTTTGTCGGACTTACGAACGAATCCGACTTACGAATGTTCTACTGGAACGGAACTCGTTCGTAAGTCGGGGACTTACTGTAATGAAAAAAATATTGTGAATAATTTATCACCTTCCTTTTAATTCTTGTTTAAAAAAATGAAACAAGAGAACATTAAAGCCCTTTCTATAATAACAGTACAGCAATACACAGATTTAATTTTAACTGAGCACCTACTACTGAGCCAGGCACTGTGTGAAGTGCTTTCGGTGCATTATCTCATGTGATCCTCACATTAGCCTGATAAAGTGGGGCAATTTTTATTCCCAGGTTCCATATAAGGAAACTGAGCTTTAATAAGATCAGCAATTTGCCCAAAGTCACGGTCATCCGTGACATAGGAGTTACTGGACCTCTAGCCAGCTAACTTCCAAGTCTGTGCACGCGACCATTAAACCCCTCAATTGGCCCATTTTTATTTTTTAAAATAATGAACACCTCAAAATGATAAGTTTGAAGGACTAAATAAAGAATATGCATTGTTTCTATAAGTTAAAGAAAAAAATGAAGACCCAACTCCTCTAGAAGCTTCTTATCCTTAATTTAAGACTAATTAAAATAACCAAAGATGCTGTTCACTGTGAGTCTGACAATTCGACTAAGGGAAATTATCAGGACTCTCTAAATATGAAGTATTCATCCATTCCCTCCGCGAACACATCTACTATGTAGCAGGTACTGTGCTGGGAGCTGAGGACACAGAGATGAGCGAAAGGACTGTGGTCTCTGCCCTCGGGCTGCGAAGACATCATTCTATGTGGGAATCCGGTGATTGATTCCCACATGACCAGCGTGATGACAGGGGGACAGGAGGACGCAGAAGCAGGGCAGCCGAACCGGGTAGGGACGGATGAGGGGAGCCCTCCCTGGAGTTAGGGGAGGGGGTGTGGGAAGGGGGTTGGAGGCTCCACGCAGAGAAGGGCACGGATCAAGGATCCAGGGCCAGCGCAGCAATTAGAAGCTGCCGGAAGTTCAGAGTGGCTCCAGCTAACACAGTGCCAGGTGGGAGGGAGCGGAGGCTCAGGACTAAACAGTGGGCCAGACCCTGCAGGACACTGAGAGCCATACTGAAGGCTATACCTGAGGGCAGTGGGGAGTCGCTTTAAGCAAAAAAGGAAGACTTGATCAGATTTCAGTTTTTCAGGTATCGATCTGGCAGCAGAGTGCACAGTAGAGCAAGTGGGTATACGACAGGGGTACAGCTATATTAGGCAACTATCGCTACAGTCCAGGTGCGAGGTGTTGGTGAGCGGGGCTAGAGTGACACACGTGGGGGAAAAGAGGAGATACTTATGAGGTAGAACGGGCAGGGCTGGACGGGGATTGGATGGGGTGTGATTGAAGCCCTGAGATGATTCTGAAGGTTACAAGGTAGAAGACCCTCATTGTTTAATTAAACTAGTCACTTAGGAAACAGAAAAGAATCATTTCTAAAAACTTTTTCCAACAAAGAGGAGACACTTACTGTTGAGCCGTTACTATCAATTATTCACTAGTGCCTGAGTTCCAGCCATAACTCACCTGGTTACCAACCAGTAACAGATGTTCTCCAAGAAGAAAGTCCTTGAGCATATCTTCCATCACTATCATGTGCTAGAGAAAAGGAGACGACAGGTTAATTGTGTTTTATATAATCGAGATGAAATAAGACAGTTAGCTCTAACAGTATCTTCATGGAAAGGAAAACACCTACTATAATAGACAAACAATTTGATGCTTTTAGAAAAACAAAATTAATGCTGTGGTTATAAGTAAGTTATATAACCAATTAGGCCCCTGATGCTGAAAACTTGAAATAGTACACAGGAGCAAAACTAAGCCACTGACCAATATTTCAAACATTTTTTCAGCAACTGCACGATATAGAGTTGGCTTCTAATTTAATGTAATATTTAAATGAACATTTGCTAAGGTAAATATACAAAGGCTTTCTAAAATAACTGGGGGTTTCCATGGAACATTTTACACTGACATACCCTTAACCACTATGGATGTATAGCTTTGGAATTAAAGGTATATTACTAACCTTGCACATTTTTTAATTCAAATTATACAATATAATAAAAGAACAGAATTAAAGTTGTTCACAAGAGCCACAGAGGAAGTTACACTGCTCTTTTGTATGTTGAGAAGTAGGACAACTTTAAGTAAGTCATGAAGGCTCTGGAGGGTGGGGGTAGAGGCGAGAACTATATCCCAGGACAATTAATATCCCTATTACTTCCTCTGGCTTTCTGAATCAGAACGATAATGGCCTCATAAGGACTGAAGTTGTTGAAGTTCCCTATTTGTAAAAAAGGCAGTGTAGACCCGGTAGCTCGCCATGGGATGGATAATTGTCTCAATCTTAATATCTGATTAAGTCTCTCTTTTTTGCTTAAATTGGCTCATTTTGCATCTAATATAGGCTGCAGATATTTTTCTAACTTGTCACTTGCTTTTCTTTTCTCACCTTGGTTTATGGAGGGTTGTTTTTTTTTTTGATATCTCGAACATTTTTCCTTTTACTTGTCCAATTAAGCAATATTTTCTTTCAGAGTTTCTTTCTTAGAGAGAAAAATTGAGAAAGTTTCCCCACCCTTTCAAAAGCAGATGAGTATTCCCTAATGTTCATCTTGGAGGTTTTTTTGTTTTGTTTTAAATGCTTTCAGATACAGCATGGAGCTAGAATTTTAACAAGGCTTGGAGTAGGATGAGATATCAATTCATTGTCCTTTCTGGAATGCTTTTAAGAACCAAAAGAGACATTTTTAATAATTATGCTGGGACAAGAAATGTAAACAATGACTATCTTAAGCAAAGCAAGGTGCCTGGTTACCCTAGTTAAAAGGGAATCCTAGGACCCTTCTTTAATCTGGGGTCTAGTGGTAACCGGGTCTGGGGAGCTCTTCTAACTATGATGAAAAGTCAGTGGCAATTACCAGACAACATTAAGTTCTTCCAGAAATAAATGGGTTAATCTGCATAAAGAACGGACATTAAAGTTGGAATGAACGCCTGCATAATCAGGTAAAAAAGCAATGTAAATGCTGAAAAATAATCCAAACTATGTCTACAGTCTACTTTTTCTCATACCGTCCTCCTTCATGCCTTCATTACATCTAACTAGATTATTCAAAGCAGCCACATTAGCTAAGGCGGCGGTCACGACCTACATAATTCTTCTCTTAACCGCCTGACCTCCTTAGTACCCCAATTTCTTAAGTCTCCGCTCCCAGATGTCCGTCTCTGCAGAGCCCTTCCTACCTCCCTAACAATTTCTCGCCTCCTGGGTTGGATCTTCTGGTAGTAACTCCTTACATTTCCTCCGTGTCCCTTCATTTGTTCTCTTTTTAACCTCGTACATGCTTCCCTGGGGGAGGAGTCACGGTACAGGCAGAGCAGGTTGTGTCTACTCGTGCACGGGCACACACCTGAGGAGCGAAGGGGGGCTGTGTGCAGAGCCGGGGACCCCAAGGCCAGCTCTTGAAGAGCTACTGCTGACCCTACGCCCCCAACCCCTGCCTCGTCCATGCCATGGCGGCTACTACCCGATCTGCACTGGCCTTGCAGGACTTGCTCAGCTCCAGCCTTGCATTTCTGATAACTATGGAACCACACGGTCATCTCCGAGTCTCCTCGAATTCAACGCGTCCAAAACGCGGTTCAATACTTTCCTCTCCACTTCCTTCTTTATCCTGTATCTTTTATCCTGATTAATAATGCCATTTTCTACCACCTGACCAAACCCCTGTCATCTTAATCCTGTCCACCCCATTCCTCCCATATCAACAGACAATTACATACCAAGTCTAGGTTATTAAGCCACCAAAAAGTCAACTGAATCTGTCCTTTCCGTGTTCTCCCCACAGTTTTCACTCAGCTTTTATGATCTCTGGCCTAGATTTTGACAAGCCAGTTTGGCTTCTACTTCAGTCTCGCCTGAGCTGACATGCTCTCTGCAGTACAGCCATACCTCATTTCACTTTATCATGCTTCGCAGGTGTTGAGTTTTTTACAAATTGAAGTAAGACCCCTCACCAGCAAAATGACTATGACTTGCTTTTGGTACATTCATTTTATTGCGGTGGTTTGGAACCAAACTGCAGTACCTCCGAGGTATGCCTGTACTGACCGACTATTTGTTATTCAAAATCCTGTCACTTCTTTTTTCTTTCCTTCCTTCCTTCCCTCCTTCCTTCTTTCCTTCCTTCCTTCCTCCCTCCCTCCCTTCCTTCCTTCCTTAAATATTTTACTGGGGAATTGGGGGAGGTGAACAGACAAGTTGCTGTCCTTTTGTTCTTCAGTCTAGTTGTGGAGGGTGTCCCTTCACTGACCCATGTTGGTGTTATCATTGCACTCTTCCTGGGTGAGGCAGTCGGTCACAGTGGCTCTTGGCTGCTCACGCTGGCTGCCAGCCACTCACAGTAGCTTATGGCAGCCCACGGCAGCTCCACTGCAGCCTATGCCATTGCCGGCGACTCATGGCAGCCCAGCTCCAGGTAGAGCTGTTGTTCACCATCTTAGCTGTAGAGGGCAGTGTCACTGGCCCTCATGTGGGATCCGAACCAGGTCCCTGCTGCTCAGAGCTGGCGTCCCAAGCCAGCTCTTAACCAACGTGCCACTCGGCAGGCCCCTGTCACTTCTTTCTTGAAAATTCCTACATGACCCCTAATACCTTAGCAACAAAGGTCACCTCCTACCTTACTGATCTGGTCTCAGCCTCGTCTCCTACCACTCTCCTCCTACATCATGTTCAGGTCATGGGCACAATTTAGAATCATTTCCTCTTTGTGTTTCTTTTTGCTTTTCCACCAGACTATGTGCTTCTGGAGCGAGAATCTCGGTCTTTCATCTAACACAAAGTTCTACTGATTCTGCCTACCCCTGAAATAGCCCTGCAATGTGTCCTTTTCACTCCGTCCCCATGGTCACTGCCTTTGTTCAGATCCTTCCTAACTTCACCTGGACCATTCCAGCCTCCTCCTCACTAGTCTCTCTCTGCCTTGGTTCCAACTCAGGCGACATGGAAGAGGGAATGCAAAGTTAGCAAAAGTGGAAATGGCTTAAATCTTTCAATGGCTTCCTCACTCTTCTGAACAGCATCCAAATTCCTTAATTAGCAAGGTCCAGATGACCCAGCCCTTTCCTAACGCATCGGTTCCATCTCCTGTCACTATTCCATTTGCAACCTCAGCTCTCTGCCATTGACAATTAATTATATGTAGCTCCCTAAATGAGCTACTCTGTCACATAGCCAAGTCTCTGCAAATGCTGAGTGACTCTCAATTTTGCCTGGTTAACTCATTTTTCATGATCATTCTAATCTGGGACCATTGCCTCATCAGTGCTGCCATGGTAACCTGCACGTACTTCCATCACACTGTACGGTAACCATGCTTGTCTTTCTCCCCTCAACAGATACAGGCACTTGTGTGGGAGTGTGCTTGCTTACGCGCGCGTGCGTGCATGTGTGTGTGTATTTTAATTTCTGTGTCCTAATACCTTAGGACAAGGCTTGAAACATGGTAGATATTTTAAAAATTTTTTCAGATCTAAAGCTCGTTAAGCTTATTCAAAGGCAAATTAAACGTTTTCCTCCAATTTCTCCTTCTATCTGCTGCAAGTGGAATAGTCCTTAATCAGAAATTTAATGAAATACTAATCATGAACATTCAAAATCTTACTTATCCTTTCATTAATTCATTAATTCACTCTACAGATATTTATTCAGTAGTCACTATGTTATTTGCTACAGATATAAAATAAAGAAAACACCACACTTTGCGTTAGTGGTGTGGAAAAACATTTAAAAAATCGGTCTCAACACAATGTGTTAAGGGGACCACAGGGCATAGAACAAGATGGTAGAGAAGCATCTAAATGTGCCAGAGGCATGGAAGACAATGGCCTCAGAGATGAGGTGTGGCATAAAGGACATAGGAATACATGCAACGAAAGCACGTGTCATCACGCCACTGTCCCTAGAGCTAGTACAGCTAAAATATTTCATTAATGGTTAATTCACAAGGCTTTCTGAAGAGCAGGAATGTGTGGAGACAGGCGACAGACAGTCCCTCAGGGCCCCTGTGAAGTTCACATCAGCCCTGAAGTCCTCAGTGTCTGTGTCACAGGCGCCATGGCAACAGGCCCTGTTCAAGGGCACAGGGCTCCCCCTGCTACTGAACTTCTGCATCCTCAGATGCTGGCAAATCTCCTCAACGTTCGCTACCAGGGAGCTTTTCCAATGGTCACTTATAGCAGTTTCCTGATTCTTTTTTGTTTATTCCTTTCTATATGGGGACAGAGTATGATACCATCAACGCTTCAAAGTAGAATATTTTCCTTACAATCATGTTTTTATCTATTGATAGATAAGATTTTTTTCCCTCTTCTGTGTCTCATAAGTAACTTCATTTTCTGTTCATTTGTCCACTGTTTATATAAGAGCATTAATGCTCTGGAAGAAAAAAAAAATCTACATTAGTTAACAGGCTACGGAATGAATAAAAAGCAATTGGGTTATGCCTTTTGCTGTGCCACACATGATGATTCAAGTGTTGACATATTTCAAAATATATAATCAATATTTTTATTGAGAAAGAAGAATTTTCCTAGATACTTTCTAAGTTGTTAATATCAGGTAGGGATATAAATTATGGTACTCATTAGACAACAAATAGGATGGAAAAATGGCAGATAAAAAAGAAATTTTATTTTAGTATCCCTAAATCCCTACTATAGTGAAGGCTGTAAGTAGAAGTTCTTCTAACATAATTTGTAAATGTAAGGTTATTATTTACATGTACTTTAGTGACCAAATATTACAGAAAATTTAAGTATGTGTTTTACTGTAAAATGAATATATAACCACTTGACAGAAACTCTGGAAAAAAAACATTATATTATGGATAATTTTCTTTGGAAAAAATTCTTCTTAAAATGAACATCTACAATAAAGCTTTCTGGGTACACACTTATTTCTGTGTCTTAGTAGAAGGTTCATAATTATAGGTTAGTTTACATGTGGGAAATTACCTACATCCCTTTAGAAAAAGAAGAAAAAATAAAGAACAGAAAAACACTATAAATTTTCAGGAAAAGAAAAGGAATGTGAACGAACAGATGCATAGGACACATCCCTCCCTGAACTACTAAAATGGTTTAACAGCCAGGAAAGCAAAAGAGAGGATAAGTATTATCTCGACTTTGTTTTTAGTTTAACAATATATGTATTTATTTACCTAAAACATAGTGTATGTGTACATATAAACTTTATTATGCTCCAATCATAGCAGCAGCTCTCGCAATTTTACAACGCATTAATAGAAGATGTTTCAACCCTTTGTTTCGCATCATTTGAATTGAACTTAGCAAATCACAAACATAAACAGTTTCACTTGAACTAGAAGGAAGAGCTACAGTGTAGGTGGCAACGTGTCCGTGAACGCAAGGCAATGACCTTACCTGAATGTTGTCATAGAACAGGACGTCAGGCACTTTCATCTTCTCATGGGCATTGTAGATCGGTGCGCTGACAGCTCCAATCCTCAGGGATCCGGATGCGACTTCACCTGAGAATGTCACACAGGACGGAGAATGACTCGTGGTACCATCCTCAGAGAAGTCAAGTCCAGCCCATACAGAATGCGACACAGCATCTTTAACATCCCGTGGGCTTGTCAAGGAATTTTAATTTAATGTATAAAAGAAATGAGCTTGAAGGTGGTAATAGAAACCTTGAAGGTGTTTTATTAGCCTGAGTATTTTTAGCTCTTCATCAAAAAGTTTAAAGCTCTACAAAAAGCTTAAAATGTTCCAAAATGTAATAAATTTTATTTAAAACAATGTATATAGCAAACAGCATACAGATAAAATTGAGAGGGGAAAACAAAACTCAGAGCTCAGCCAGGTCATCTTCTTTTTTTAGGTCATCTTAATAAGCTTGTTCAGTCAAAGACTATAACACATATATAAACCGAATACACATTTAAAAGCTCTGAAGTACCTTGAATATCATTTTTTTGGACCCATCCGTTGAAAAAGCACCTATGAGAATCCCCTAGCAGTCTAGTAAAAAATACCGATAAACCCATCCATCCCAGAGCTCTCAAATTACTGTTTGCAGGGCTAGTCCAGGAGGTGGATATTTTGAAATAAGCGCCCCAGGTGCTACACAATTATTTTGTGGTAATTATAACTGTCCTGTCTCCTACAGTTGGTCGAGAGCAGAATTTGAGCTCCCTGAAGCCAGGAAACTAAATAATCAATTCCTTGAAGTCAGGGACAATACTGCATGTGTACTCTCTGCAGTAACCAGACACACATGCTCACCATCTGAACATATTCTAAGGTCAATAATAACACTAATAGTACTTGTTGTTTTTCTGATGATCAGTCACAGAAGCTATCCTTTCCTGAGAGCCTTCTATGTACCAGATCCCAAAGCAGGAGCTTCGGCTCATGGTTTCTTCATACAATTTCATGTAATTTTCCTAACAATGAGACAAGAATTATGAAGAAGCTGAGAAGAACACAAATTAGGTAATTTGCTTACAATCTCCCAGCTAGTACGGCTAGAGCTAAAAACAGAACTCAGGAGAGTCTGATGTTCTTTCTGCCCCGTGGGGGACGCTCAATCCTTTGACTCCAAATATTCCATCCTGTGTAACTGCCCGAGCAAGCAGGTAGAAAATTACTGTATCTGAAACAATTAACCTATCTTTTTACCCCCCTACTTCACATAAGAAAATTTGCTATTTTTGCGGTAAAGCATTTTGAAAGACGGTGCAAAAGCAACATTGGCGTCTATGGAGTACCGTGAGCAATTCTGAGCTAAAAAGAATTAAGCGATCAGCCTGTTTAATCACTGCTGAGTGCTCCCTATTTGCCAAAGCACAGTGGGCCCCTTCCTTCAATAGATTCTAGCCATTTTCCTTTTATTCACTAGTTCTTGCAGGAAGGAACCCATGAGTAGCCGTGCTGAGAATCTACTATTTATTTACTGTCACCAGGTCTCTGAAATAGACCCAATACGTAGCTGTAAAAGGAAACAGCAGGACTGTGTTGGTGAGTTTACTATGCACTTGAATGTTGAGATGACACAATCTCAGATTCACACAGCATGTGATATCATCTAGGATTTACTTTATAGAGTGTCTCTAGTTCAGTACATTTAGGGCTTTAGGACAATTTAATTCACTCAACCCGTGCTTACTGTTAAAATTTCAAGCTAGAAAAGGGAAATGCATGCACAGTGGTGATACTGTACTTCTCCAGGAGAAAACTGGCGAGCAATCTTCTAAGAAATCTCATGGGACGCCATTATTGTGGTATATTTGTCAAGGTCCTCGGCCTGGTAGGATCAAAACCTGATCTTCTCATTACAACAGAAGATAAACCTAACTCTATTTTGTATATATAAAACCAGAATTGCAAACATATTACATAGCAATGAAAACTGCACCTGCCATATGACAATATGACACATGGTGTCAGATCAGTATATCGTTTGGAGGGTGACCTGCATGGAAAAAGCCAAGTCCTTACCAGAACGTCGTTTGGTGAGCATGGCCTCTGAGCAAGGAAAGTGAATTAAATGAATTCTCCACAAGAGAGATGGCATTCAAGATGAATGGAACCAGATGAATCAAAAGTCTCTTAAGTTAGCTTCCTTATCCCTCACAAGGCTTAGATGGGAACCGCTAACACTGCCCTGTGGGCAGGACTAAAGAATTTATAATGTGAAGGATGCAGCTTTTCTTTGGAGATGTTAAAAAATTCAGTCAAGTAACATTACGAGTCTTAAAAAGTCCCAAAGTTACTCTGTCTCTTTGAATTAACGCTGTGTATCTGTACCCAGATCCATCAGTATGCTGAGTTTATAATTTTTCTTGAAGAAAGGCATCTAATTTCCTCAATACCAAATTCTTCTCTCAGTATAACCCCCAACGATCAAAAACACCTACTACAAAGAAAACCACGATAGTCCCCTGTGGAGAGAGGTCACACATTGGACGTTTTGATAAAACAGGGAATTACCTCAAAAAAATCAGAGAACCTGTGACAGTGCTGTAATTGAAGAATGAGGAACATTTTAGGAAGAGCTAAACCTCCCTCCAAATGAAAATTATCCTTACGGCTACCCAGGAGAAAAGCACCACAAGACAATACTTGTGGAAATGCAACAGTAGGGAGGCATGAAATAGAACACTGAATATTCTCACGTTCTAGGTCAACCTAGACTGGCTTCCCACACATGTCCCTTAAGACAATGGGTGGTCCTCAAAATGCAAATGTTGTGCAAAGAAAACAGAATTTTAGATTCTGTGGTGAAAACCAGTTGGGAAAAAAGGTAAAACAAGGTCACACAAGTCAGTTTGCACCAGACATTATGTTCGTGTCCATTGTGACTCTTGGAGCGAGAGTGGGGGTGAGGCGAGGACCTATATCTGGTGTGCATGGAAATAAAAGAAGCATTCTACGGTTTAACTTGTAAGTGGGTTTCAACCTTTTATTATTATTTTTTTAATAAAAGATTCATTTCTTCAACCCAGTAATAAAACAAAATGAATGGAAAACACAATGATTTTTTATTGAAATTTAAATAATAGAAAATGTTTGATAATTATTATGTCACTTACAAGAGAAACAAATCAAATACTTACATTTGTAATCCTCCAGTTTTGGTTCTACATTATCATCGGTACTTATTTCTATTGAAGCATCTGCCAGGTTTTTTTCTAATGCTGACCTTGCAAGGCTTGGTAGAAACCTGGGGGACGAGGGGAGGATTTAAAGATAAAGTCAAAGCTTTTCTGTGATTCCTAAATACCTTTTGACATGTGTACACACACACAAATTACAACCAATTAAGGAAGCTCATTCTGGATCTGAGAAATACAAATAATAAACTTCAAGTACATGTGATGATGCAGTAGGTTTGTTGAATCTGCTTGAATAAGTAAAACTCATTTGTAATTAGCAGTATTCATTTATATACCACAATTTGCAGGACAAGACTTAAAATGATATGCTTTTACAAATGGATTTAGTATACCCCATAACTTTTGTTTACCATTTAACTGGCTTACCAAATTTTCTTCAATAGATGAAACAATATTTTAACCTGTCCTACGTTGGCAATCATAAATTCAAATTCGTGGAGGTGGATTAATGAGGTTTCTTTCACTTTCTCATACAAATTATTGAATAAATTTAATATTACCCAGCTTGGTTCTTCCTTCCATTTAAAAATCCTGCTTATCTCTTCTATACGTATTTTGTCAAAACAACACCCTTGCATTCTTCATCTGTAAATAGGCTGTATGAACATCATGGGCTTGAACATTAAAACAGTTTCCCACCCATAAATACACCTGGAGTTTATGATCCCAAGTGAGCCCACAGAAATGACTTTTAACTCATGGTCCTTGTGCTATTTTACTATAAACTAACCACTCTGTGCCACAGTGTTCTAAATAAGCATACGAACAGCACACCGCTTCTCACTTAGGTTTTTGCCCACAGCTCTACACCTTTCATGGTGCTTCCCACAGCCTTGAGGATACGCTCTAACAAGACACGTTGGTGTGAGTGAGAAGGCAAATGCATGGGCGGGTAACGAACTGCTGGATTTCCCATCCCTGTAATACTCCAAGCCACACAGATGACACTGTCTCCCAACAATGACTCGCTTTGGTCCCAGGCTATGTATGACAGGGGCCTTATCTAGCTCTAGGCTGGTAGTTCATCAGCTCAGTAACAAGTCAGACTTACTGCCTGTCGTTCATCTCTGAACTTTCATCGCAGTTCTTAGACTGCTGCCTTTTCTTTCAAAACCAAGCCCTCACCTCATCTCCCAGAACCAATAACTGGGCCTGTGTCCTGTTTCCTGAGCCTGTCTTGGCACCCTGCCCTACCTCCCCCTCGCTACTATCCCAGGACCTAGAACCTAGCCTGGTAACACCAGGCCCTGTGGATGCACCCCCATTACTTCCTGTCAGACCATCTTGATCGACACTGGCCACTGGCAGGGCTCGCCTTTGTTTGCTGTTCCCAGAACCCCCTGACGTCTATATAGCGTGTCTATCACACATCCTCACTTTGCCCCGGTACTGGGACGTTTCTAGATGGCCCTCCAAAGCCTGGGGAGCACAGCAGGGAAGGCACGTGTGCCCCCTTTTAATGGCATGACAGGTATTGCATGCCGATAGGGCACTTTTTCCCACTGACTAAGTTGAATGCTTAGCTCATAATTTTCTTTCCCTATTTTTTCCTAATTTGTGAATTTAAGACCAAAAAAAAACCAACAACATTTAAGGTGCTACTTTAGGTGTATCCTTCAAGTGTTGAGATTCATATGTTTATGTCATAGGTTTGTAAATATTTCATAATTTCATTTTTGAATTTTCTTTTAATATCTTATTTGGTTAGAAATGTATTTTTACCTTTCCAAATATATGGGCTTTAAAATGTATGTCTTGCTCTTGTTATGAATTCTGTTGCGTTGTGGTCTGAGAAAGTAATATTCATAATGAAGATTCTTTGATATCTTCTGAAGCACCATTTTTTTTTCATCTAGTTTGGGGTCAGTTTTGATACGGGACAAACGTTCCATGTGTTCTTGAATAAAATGTGTATTCTTTGTCCACTGGTAGAAAGTCCACTACATCAATTCTTCTCTATCTTTTCTAATTTTTTGAATGCATGATTTATCAGTCTCTGAAAGAAGTGAGTTAAAATCTGTCATTATACTGTTGATTTATCAATTTTTCATTGTAATTCTGAGGTGTGAACAGTTCAGGACTATTAAATCTACTAAATTAAGTTTCTTTGCTCATCTTCATCCCCAGTCAAGCTTTTGACTTTGACGTATGTTTTGCCTAATAATAATACTATATCTCTTCTTTTTTGGTTAATTTTTGTCTGATATATTTTCTTATACCTCCACATCTGATCTTTCTTCACTGTTTTAGGTGTGACTCTTGTAACAGCATATAATTAGGTTTAGTTTGTTTTTAAAACTCAATCAGAATCTCTAACTTTCAACTAGAAAGTTTAACCTTGTGTGATATTTATGCTTAGTTCTAACATTATTTCATGTATACTCTTCAGGTTGATTTTTTCCCCCTCTTCCCCCCTTTTATTTCCACCTATGTTGTATTGCTCAAGTTTTCTCTATTTGCTTATTTCCATCTCTATTGGATCCATTTTCATTCTTTCTTGTGGTTACCTAAAATTTATACGTGAATACTTGAAATGACGAAGTCTAAAGTGATTCAACATTCACATCCTAAAGAACAGAAGAAACTAAGAAAGCATTCATTTCTCTTTTATCAGCTTTTATATTCTCCTGCTTAGTGTTTTAGTTTCACACTGTTGTTAAATATTTCCCCATATTAGTATTCATTTTTATTACTTTTTTTTATATTTTAATTTAATAATATATTTACCTATTTCCTTCCTTATCATTATTTCTTGCACACCATCTTTCTTTCTGAATTCAGTTTCCTTCTTGCTGAACTGTGTCCTTTAGTAGTTCTTTCAGCAATGTAGTAAACTCAGTGTTCATCAAAAAATGTAGTTAGCTAAACAGAGACTTCTGGGGTTCGTGGTTATTTTCCATCAATACTTTCAGGATATTATCTAACCTCCTGGAATCTATTGTTGCTGCTCTGCAGCTGCTAGCTTAATATTGCTCTTTTGTATTCTTTTTCTACTCATAATTTTTAAGTTGTTCACTTTGTCTTTAATTCTATGCAGTAATATCACAATGCATACTTTTTCCCAAACTTTGATCACTCTTGTTTATTTCTTAGATCAATTCACATTACTTGATTTATTTTTGTGTTTTTTAAATAAATTAAAAGTTGATTCAACTACCAGGGCATATATGAAGGTCTGCAGAATTATTGTGATTATTTAATTGTAATATATTCAAAGTATTATTTTCCCTTAGGCTCTAAAACTATTTACATTGTTTAGCATTGACTGTTTATTTCTATTAACATACATCTATACCCAAGTTCTAAGAAAATGCTGGGTAGGTAATGAATCTATTTATTTGTCTATATTTTCTCAATTCATGACCCTAAAAGATAATCACCTAAAGCATTTTTTTTTAATTTTCATTTGGAAGTCTAATATTCTTCCACTTAAAAGAAAAAAAATTTATTATTTTTCATAATTATTAGTTTTCAAAGAGTTACTCTATAGATGCTGGAGAGGAGCCTCGTTTTAGCTGGACACACCCACCACTGAGAGAACAAATTCAAGTTGCTCACAAGGATCTTATTTAACTACAACTAAAATTGTCCACTGAACTGGAGATTTATTTATAGAGGGCAATTATAGATTCTCCTACACTGAAAATAGATTGTCTTTTAATTCCTTTTGTATATCAAGGAATGCATGAACAACAGTCATGACCACCATAAAAATATTACCAGATCATATGAAAGGAGTCTAAAAGAAACCTCTAGTGATGGAAGGAGAACTGTGTGGTGAACACACCATGTGATATCCAGATGATGTATTACAGAACTGTACACCTGAAACCTACGTAACTTTACAAACCACTGTCACCCCAATACACTTTAATTAAAAAATAAATAAAATAAAACAAAAGAAACCTCTGGGCCTACTGGACGTTGTTCTTAATCTTTCTTATTATTCTTTTAAAATAGTCTCATGCAAGTATCTTGATTCTGTAAGAAAATTCTATAAGCCAATGTTTTATAATCATTTCCAAACAGGTATGAAAAATATTAGTGTAGACTGAAAAGGTGATAGTCTTGCTAAGTTTGGGCAACAGGCCAGTAATACCTTGGTTTGCGAGCATAATTCATTCCGGAAACAAACTACTCGTACTGCAAGACATCACTCGTTTACCAAGTTAAAATGTATTAGAAATGTTTGCTCATCTTGCGGAACACTCGCAAACCAAGTTACTCGCAATCCAAGGTTTTACTGTACTATCAAGGATAGGACGTTCCAGTGCAAATCTGGGAGGCTGTAAGTATCATGAGTGAGAACACCAGCTCAGAAGACACGTGGGCTGGAGTTCAAATCCCAAATCCACTTTTACTTATTTACCACTGTGTGGCCTGAACCAAGTGACTTATGTAGTTTTCTCATCTAAAAAATACCCCTTAAAATTGTTGTTATGCCTAAACAAGGTACAACTGAAAACTAAACACAAGGCAGAAACAGCTACATATTCCGACCAATACTTTTTCCAGACTGTCTTTAAACTTATATTACTGTTTTTCCAGAAACTGGCACGCAGGGAGGAAGGATACAGTCACCTGGCAAGGCAGGCTTTAGTGACAGCCCTGTGAAGATTCTCATTAGGGTGCCGCGACAGCCGACGAGAAATTCGCAACAGCTGCCTGGTGGAAAGTGATGCTGCCAAGGACTGTGCCTGTTAAAGGGCAAAGACAGCCTGTTAAGAGCCTTGTTTCAACTTGCTGAAAGCCCCTTTAGATGGGCATCAGAGCAGAATTCAGTATTCCTGAAGGACAAGGCCAAGCTTAAAATAAATACGCACTGTTAATGAATTACAAATAAAAGCAAACAAAGGCCCACTTACACTTGAAACACTCCTGAAGATAGTTTTTAAAAAATCTATAAGAAGTGTGTATCAATTAAATTCAATGAGAGTGTTTTCACTGTGCTAAGTGCTGTGTATCCATGTTTTTTGGGGGGGAGGTGGAGGTTGGGTGGAGACAGGATGTAACATGATACAGGTTGCCCTCGACTCATGTACAGTTAACTATGTTTTCATTTTTTCTGCTTACACAAAGCCGAACTGTTAAGATATCCTGAAAATGCTTAGAGCTTTAAGTAAACGTATGACTTCTGAAATACAGAAAAGGAGGCTGCCGACCACAGAGATGTCAACGGGTTTGTCAGGGGGATGGCAGCTAGCTTTTCAGAATCCTTCCCCTATTCTGTCAGAATAATTTCACTCGTTTTCCTAACTTCCCCAAATCCTAATAGCAGAGTTGCTAGTATAGAACTTAGGATATGTAAGTACCAATAAATACTTGCTAACTTGAATTTGAAATGATCTTGGCAGGCAACATAATGTTTCGGTAAAGCTTAGAAGCTTTGGAATCAAGACAAATCAGGCCCCCATTTATTAGCTTTGTGACCTTGAGAAATTTCTGAATCTCCTCAAGCCTCAGTTTCCTCATCTTTAAAATGGCAACAATAATGCCTTCATCATTAAGGTTATGGGGATTACATTAGACAATACTCTAAAGCACTTAGCATAGGTCAGGCATGTGGGTACTCAACGAACGCCAGTAATTATTATTAATAAAGTCAGCCTCTTCAAAATGAAAAGAAATCCAACAGAGGAACAGGATGTAACCTACACTTTAGTGTGAATTTAATGAATCAGATTACTACTGATCTAATTCCCGACTTAGATCAGTAACATTAGGAGATAAAGGTTTTTCACTGAAAACCAGAGGAAAGAATAACTTTTGAAGCAACTGGCCTTTTGGGAGGGCAGAACAGTCCTGGGTGAAATGTCACAGAGAGTGAAGAAGGCAGTAAAGTGTCCCTGAGCACCTAAGAGAACAGAGAACGGCAGTAACAGAGTTCAGAATGGACCATGGGAAGGTGCAAAAGAAACACTGAACATTTGCTTATTTCAGCATTTTGCTTAAGGTCATTTCTGAATGTCCCAAGGAAGAAAGAATGAATTGCTCTCTCCTCTCTCGTGTATTTCACAGCTTCATGAGACGCTGGTCTGCTGTTATTAGTATTTTATTTCAGCTCCATCGTGGGTTAAATGGCCCTTTGGGGACTAGGCTGGGAGCATGACCACCATTTATGACATCCTTTTTTCTATTAAAAACACATTCTAAGTTTCAAAGAACTCATTTACAAGCAAACATTGCTTCATCCCTGTTTACAACAGATTTGAATCCTACACATGGAGACAATATTTAAATATAAGAAAGCATAAATTGCAACTCAAAATAGCAAATAATTGAACACCAAAACAAATGGAGCACTTGACAACTGCTATAGGGGCTGAAAATGCCCCAGTGGGCAGGGGGATGATATGAACAAAGGAACGAACGCAAAGGAACAGAGATACATGCAGAACAACGAGGAAAGCACGTTTACTAGAGGATCCTGTTGGAAGCTTTGCTCCCAAGTAACCAGGGCCTGGGACTAACCCTTTGAGGAGTTTGGGCTGGCTCCTAGAAGGGGCAGGACTGTGTGATGCACAACATAGTAACATGACTTTAGGAAGATTCACCTGGAAGCACTATGTAAGGTAGTCAAGGGACAGAGAGAACTGAGATGGGAATCTGTCTACAAAAGGGAAAAGTCCTACGTAAGGTTACTGGCAGAAAGAATGGATGGAAGGGGATCAACCAGTGTTTCAAAGGGCTGGGCAACTGATGGATATGAGAAGGGAGGTAGGACTGAGGATGTGATTACTTCAGCCAGTATCACCGGAAGTATTGGAAGTTAAATATGACTCAGCAATTCCCATCCTTAATGCCTGGGGCCATGACCACTTTCTACCTTAAACATGGAAAAGGTCTGACACATGACTCCGGCCAGGGGATTCTCAGGACAAGGGTCCTGTTCAACGATATGGTGACATTCTAAGGTACAACATTCTAATCCCATTCCAAGCACGACACAAATTCAGCCTTCATATTTCATTCTGTGATCAGTAAGGATTTGTGAATTTGAAAAATACCAACTTTCAGCCGACAACACCAAAATGCTTTGTAATAACATCCAGTGTTAAAAAAAAAACCAAATCAGAATGAAGCTTACCGTTGAGCCATTTTCATGTTGAATAAAGGGTTTGGTTATCTCTGCTCTCACATTATTAGCAATTAAAAATTGAGGGCGTACTTTAATTTAAAAATCCCTAATGTATTTAACATATATAATATTAAATTTCTAACTGCAGTTTTATATTACAAAAAAGCAGGTGAGGACGTGAGGACGTTCCCTTGGTTATGCAGTTACCATGGTTATGCAGTTTAAGAGCATCCCTGAAGGGTTTTTCACATTAGCAGGACTAATAATAGTACTTGAGCTTAAAAATATAAAGATTCAGATCAAAATGATTAAAAATAATTTTCCTCTTATTCCTCTTAAGGAATTATTTCTTTTATGAAAATGTAGTATGTTCTCAGGGAGAGAAAACTCTAGGGATAACCTGTTAATTCATTATTAATTAATCAATTTATTCATTCATTCATCAACCATTTCAGTGTCTACCATGTGCCAGGCACCAGGCTGAGAAATGAGAATAAGAGAATGAACAAGACTCGGCCTCAAGGAGTTCTAACACTAACTGGGTAGGTAAACGCCCACTGGGATACAGCCGCAACAGGTCAGCGTGAGAAGCAGGTGCCAAATGTCCCGGGAGCACACTGGACAGAGCAGCTGCTTGTCCTAGAGGGGCTGAGAGAACCTGACAGAACAGGGAGCCTGGTGACATGCAGACAGACAGCAAGCGCATCCCAGGCATGATCTGAGGCAGGGGCGTTCGGGTAAGCACTGGGCTTAGAGAAGAGCAGAAGCCAGGTGTGGGGGTTCAGGGTGCTTCAGAAGAGGCGGTAGGAAGTGAGGCCCGGAAGCAGCTGGCGCCAGAAGGAACTCGGCAGCCATGCTTAGCAGGCAGTCCTTCCGTCTGCAGACAAAGAGGGTCCACCTCTTAAATAAAGGAGGGAATGGAGGTGGGAATGGTCACTCCGGGGACAATATGGAAGATTCATTCACTCATTTATTTAACAGATATTTTCTGAACACCTACAACGGAGCAGGTGAAGTTCCAGATGCCGGGCATACAGCAGGGACCAAAACCAATGAAACCCCTGTGCTCCCAGAACCAAAATCTGAGTGAGGGAAAACAGACAATAAAAAATAAGTGAATAAAACATATATTGTGTCCAAGGGTAATAAGCCCTATGAAGAACCTTAAAGCAGAGAGGGAAAGGAATGAAACGGAAAGGATATGTGATTCTAAATGGAGCGCTTCAGGAAGCGCTGAAAAGGAGACCTCTGAGCAAATCCACAAAGAGTGCGGGAGCCAACCCGTCACTAGCTGGGAGGGGCCCTGAGGCAGGCACGAGTGTGTTCAAGGGACAAGAAGGAGAGGGGTGTAGCTGAAAAGAATGAGGAAGGGACAAGGAGTTGGCGATGAGGCCCCGGGGGTAATCAACAGGGCCTGTGACAGCTAGAAAATGGTCCTCCCAAAGATATTCACACCCTAGCCCCTGGAACCTGTGAGTTTTACCTATACGGCAAAGCTGACTTTTCAGATAACATTAAATATTTTGAGATGGGGAGATTGTCCTGGATTATTTGAAGGGCCCCTCAGTGCACGCATATGTATCCTTGTGAAAGGGAGGCAGGGAGATGTGACATGGGCGCACAGAAGAGAAGGTGATGTGAAGATGGAGGCAGAGAGTCAAGTGACAAGGCCAAGTCAAGGAACGCTGGGGCCGCCAGAAACCAGAAGGGGCAAGGAGCGGTTCTTCTCAGCCTCCGAGGGAGCGTGACCCTGCTGACACCTTGGTTTAGGCTCAGTGACACCCATTCCAAACTTTTGGTGTCCAGAACTGTGAGGGAATACACTTCTGCTGTCATAAACACGAGTTTATAGTAATTTGTTACAAGAGCCACAGCAAAGTAAAAAAGAACCGTAAGAGGAGTGAATGGGTTATTAGTGAAAATGGCAGACAAGAAGAAATAACAATATTCTAGGAGACAGATTAGGTAACACAATACTAGGACAACTATTGACAAGAGATAAGAGAACAGGTGACATACCAAGATGCTAAATTGATGAGACTTGCTTTCAGATTAAGTGGAAATAGCGGGAAAGCAAGGTATCAACAGTGATGTCAAGGTTTCTGATTTAGGTAATTTGGTAGCGAGATCACTAACAAAGTAAGGAAATTAAATAAGGAATAGGAATAGGTTTAAAGGGGAAAGACCATTTAGTTCCATCAGATTTGATGAATTCACAGTGATCCCATCATCACAACATCTTACGAGGAGGCACATGGCACTATTTCCATTTTACAGATGAGAACACTGAGGCTCAGAGTTAGCCAGTGACAGCCCTATATCTTTCCAGCATACTATCCCAGCATGGAAACACAATTAGGAATAAAGACTCAATCAGAAAAGAGAAGTTAGAAGATAAAGACATAGGCATTATCGCTGTGGGGGTACTTGAAGTCATAAGAACAGATGAGCTTACTCAGCACAGGAGACAGGAGCAGAGCTGAACCCCAGGAATCCCCCCTAGTCCTCTAAAGCTAAAGTTGTGTTCCATGATATCAGCCATGAGGAGCTGGGAGAAATGTTAAAATCATTGAAAGAGCAAAACATATGCGTAGGACAAAGCATAACATTGGAATAAAAATGCCAGCTTACAAAATGGATTGTAAAGCCCTGAACTCAAAGAATACAAAAGCAGCCTGTTGAGGACAGAAAATCCAGACTTACCGTCGGATCCTGAGTCTCTCTGAGCTTGTGTGTAAATGATAACAATTTGTCCAAAGCTTCCTGAGGTATATTTGGGACCTATTTTATGAGAGAGTGGAGGAAAGACAGAAAAAGTAAATTGGGCTATCTGATTAATAAACCACAAATTATGGCTACTTAGCAAATACTATGAGAATTACGTTTTTATAAAGTCCATGATTACAGGTTACACGTTTAATCCATGGATAAATGTACTTATTTGCCTTTTTTATTAACCCCCCCAATTTCTCTTTAAGAATCAGGTAATTAAAACCAAGTCACTCGTCTTAATTTACAATTCTATCGCCAGCATAAAACTGAAAGAAGCCTCTAACTCAAAAAGCGGCATGTAGTGTGCCCATAAAAAACTTTCATATACTATCATTTCCTTTTTTGTTGGCTTCAGCATGATTTTCTAAACTCTTAGTTTAGGCACTTTCGTACTGATGCCCAACTCCTTTGTTTGGCAGTAATCTGACATCCACGTCTACTAAGTCACGTGACGTATCCCTGTAAAGAGAATGGACGCTCAAGTCCTTTTTTTTTAAGGACTTTTAAACCACATACCCAAGGGACATGATCAATTTATCAGTGAACTCTGAAGAGTAGATGCTCAAATAACACACACGGATTGCCTTTATAACAATTTCAATTTAATGAAATATTAATTGATCATAAGAAAATTTTGCTTAAACAGTAACAAATTTAAAGTTTCAATGGAAACGATCAGAGAGAGTTGTTGGATCAATGACTGGTAGAATGCGGCCATTTCAGAAGTAAACCGCTCAGGGTTTCTTTGGTCATTTAAGTGATTGAAACTTTTTTAAATTCTAAGTTCTATTAAGTGCAGACTTTACCTAATTTCTTCTTTAAATCCATCCTACGCTGCAAGGACCAGTAGTAGCCCCATCCTCAGGTGAAGAATCTATGGTTGAGTAACTCACCCAAGAAACGGAGGCTCATAAGTAATAGATTTGGCATTTAAAAGCCAGCTGTTTGTCTTTAAAGCTTAAACCCCATCCTCAGCCATGTTCATAAGACCTAAAAGATTCATTCTGGTATTTTAAAGGGCAACTGTCCAGTAGAACTTTCTTTGATGATGGAAATGGTCTTTACCTATGCTTCCTAATATGTCAGCTAAAAGCCCCCATGTAGTTACTGACCACTTGAAGCATGACTGAGAAATTGAAATGACAAATTTTACTTAACGTGGCTAGTGCTACTACCTTGACTAGTACAATTCTAAAGCCCCGAGGGTGCTCAGCATAATGCCCGATGAAGGCGGACATTGAAGTAATGGACTACATACACACACTACAAGCCATCAGACGCTAAGCAGGTCCGTACAGCCCAGGATATATTACCATCCTGAGGCCAACAGCACTCCTTTCCTACAGAATCTAAGGAACTAAAATATATCTGACCTCCCTTTACAGTAGAAACTTAAAATTGTCACCTTTGGCGGAATATAAAAGGAAGAGGAATCCCTAAACCACCTCCACATGGAAAGAGGGAGGAAAGACATCCTACAACCACGGTTCTCAGAGAATGCTCGCAGGCCCGCAGCCTCGGCACCACATGAGACTGAGAAATGCCAAGTGCTCGTGGACCATATTCCAGACCTATCGCCTCCGCAACCTACATTGGACCAAGTCCTCCAGATGGGGCCGTAACATGGTCAGGTTTGAGAACCATTCACTGTATGAGGCAATTCGGGAGTAAATGGGGGAGAAAAAGCCAAAAATGGCCAACTCCACCCCTGTAGGCGTCAGAGTGATTTAAAAAGAGAAAACTGAAGGCTCCACAGGCTAGGGCTGGTCGCACGCTTACCATTTCCTTAATCACTTGGATTTCTTCACTTTTGACAAGTGGTTTCATGTAATGGAAAAAGAACATGGTTAAGAATTCTGGCCCCAGCCACTGCTGTGTTGTGCTTCCAATGACAGGGGGCTCTGCCAAGGCGATGATTCTGAAGGAGGGGTGCACAGGAAAAATGGATCTAAAAGAGAAAAAAAAAGAAAAAAACTTGAGCTCTCATGTTAGAAATTAGGTCATTGGTAGTTAACGCCTCGGTGGTGATGAGCCCATAATGCTGTTATCCAGTCAAAGCCATTATCCAAAGAACAAGCTTTGAAAGAAGTCAGGACATTCTAAGAACCTAAGATTAAAAAAGCAAGAGTCACCTACTGCTAACAGAAGAAGTACCATATCCACCGGTGAAACTCCATCTCTGGCATAAACCACTACTTTGGATATGCTGTTACGCCTACAGGAAATTGTCTCCATCGTCCCTTGAAACGAAACCCCATCCAGTTCATCTTCAGTAGAAAAGTCCCCTTTCTCTATTCAAAATCCCCTCAAAAGCTTCTGTCTTGCCAGGAACCAACTCTACGTCAGTCACAGAAAGGCAAAGAAGTATGATTCAAGATGAGGAGACGTTCCACAATACAGAAGATTAAAGCAGCCTAAGGGGTTGGAAAAAATTTAAATAAGAATTGGCCATAAGAAGGTCTTAAAAAGGTAGAGAAAACTGAACTTTTATATAATTCACTCTTTTGTCATTTTACAGGAAATGTGATGATTTTTAAAGTGATCTCTTTTATAAATCTCTGCTAGAAAACCCCAAATACAGGCACATGACTGGCATTTCTCCAGAAACAGACTATCTGTGGCCATTAACCATGATAACAGAACCCCACAGTTAAGTGATTAGGCAGCTAGAGCATCAACAGGCAGGACGGGACATGTGTGGGGAGAATCAGACAAGTACTCTGAAGATTTCAGGTAAGAAGATGTCCTCCCAATACAACAGGTAAGTCCATGAGTCCCCGACTGCATGATCTGTAATTTGAGGGGCCACACCATCATTTTTAAAAATCGTCATATGAAAGTTACCAGATATCATTTCATTTCTCTTGGTAGAAAAAAAAATTACTTGTTTACAGATATTCAAGCAGAGCTTAGGATGATGTGTCCAAAGGCGTGGTTCTAGGAAAAGAGGGAGTGGGCACAACACGGGCAGCGCCTGGGAGTCTGGGCGATAAAATGTCACTCAGGATTGCCACTCAACAGTCACCTAACAGAGTCTGGACACAGGAAATTCCGTGATCTGAAAGCTAAAAGGGGAGGTTATTCCATTTGCCACTTTTGCTACGGGGTTTGCTGTAAGCTGGAAAACTGCTTCACGGCCCAGCCACAGATGTTGGCCCATCCTCGATCCTCCTCTCTCCTCCTTAGGACAAAAGCCGGTAAGAGAGACAGAGCCTGCTCTGACTGCACGAATGCAAAGCTGCAGATGCCGCTTCCCACAGAGGGCAGTGAGGGATACTAACTCAGGAAATGGACAAAGCCCAACTTTACATCCGTAACCCAGAGAGATGAGGACAGCAGCTCAGCCGACAAGTCAGGACTGGAGGAGCAATCAACATGGGAGCATGAGAGCTCACTAGGGGGTTGGAATTTGAATGAGATGATGGTCAGGACATGTGCTGTCTGTGGCTTCTTTGTGGGACTAATTCTATCAGGGTACCTGAGTGACCTGGCCCAATTGGGAGGGCGGTTTCTGAGACAGCAGGTGAACAAGCAGAGAAGTGCCCACCGAATATAAGCAACCATTAAACTACAGACTAGCAGGATGGGAGGACCTTTCTGTTAGGTAGGCTCTACCCAAAGGCTTCCTTACATACAAATAGGTCAGATGGAAAGTCATTTCCTGATGTTTGGCTCTCCAAGTTTGAAAGTTAGACAACAGAGTGCTCCTGAGGACCTGTGCCAACTACTTCCAGGTGATGTAACGTACTGATGGGTAATACAAAGGCTGAAGAAGTGGTAAATAAGGGAGAATTAGGAAACAGACACTATTCAAATTTAAAATCAAGGTTAACTGTAATTTTACTAGACTTGAACAATAATAAATAACAAATGAAACTAAAGATAGAGCTTAACTTCAGATAAGTAGATATTTCCTAAATATTAAAAAGTTTTAAAGCAGAAAGATCTTAGAAAAAGATTAAAAAACAAACAAACAATGTATTGGGGTCCACATACCAGGGGTGCCAAAAAAATGTATACACATGACTTGTATTCATCTTTTGCTATTGGTATATATTGAGTGTTACAATTTTAAGACAGTTTTTTTCCTTTCTTAAAATGTGTATACATTTTTTTGGCCCCCTCTGTATTTGTTTGGTGGCATAAGTATATGTTTTTAGAAAAAAAGTACTTTCCAACACTTCTCAGCAATAAAAAGGAATAGATTAGTGACATACATAGCAACATGGAAGACCTCAAGATAATTACACTGAGGAAAAGAAGCCAGAACAAAAAGAGAACACACTGTGTGGTTCCATTTATATAAAACCCTAGAAAATACGAGCTATGTCAAGTAGTCGTAAATAGTTGCCTATGGGTGTGAGAGGAGGGTGAGAAGGGGCAGGAGGGATGACAAAGGAGTCAGAGCATACTTCGGGGGTCACAGATGAGTTCATTATCTTGATTGCGATGATAGTTTTATAGGTATATATAAGTATCAAAACGATCAAACTCTACACTTTAAATATGCACAGTTTATTATATGTCAGTTATACCTCAACAATGCTATTAATAAAAAAGAAAGGTTACAATAAGCTCCAGTCTTTTGAAGGAAATCATATGTTACATTGTTTGTCAAATCTGTATAGTAAGAAACTTGAAAGAATGATACAGAAGGTTTCTATAAAGACGCTAATCATGAGCCAGAAGATGATTTTTTTAACAGGCCACCAATACTGTAATACTGATGTTACCGTTCAGAAGAGGTTATGCAGCTCTGCGCACAGCCCATGTTTCCCCTTTGTTTTCGATGCAATGTCGCAAACTATTACATGGACACATTCCTTACTCATCTTTATATCACGCAAGGTCTAGTGTAATACTAGGGAGAGAGCAGGTGCCCAATAAATAAATACATGCATTGCTGCAGGTAGTAACCATCAGTGCGAGACACTTTTTAAAGACCTTTTTGATGGCAAGGACAAAATGAAGTGATAAGAACTGAAAATGATGGTTTCCTATTGAGAAAGCAGAGTGGTTAGTCTAAATTTGGTCTTGAATGAATTTGTGAGTGAAGGTGAATTCTCTGAATCAAAAAGAAAAAACCATACACACACTAAAAAGTAATTAGACCCTTCATAACCAGAGTTTAAAACTGTTCCTTTAACCATAAAAATGTTTAGGATTATTTTTCCAAAATAGGAATCTGTTTAAGGCTATTTGTTTTGAGACTCAAACACAAAGACTTAGGCATAAAATCCTGGCTCTACCTTGAGTTTTGTTAAAAATTTACACGGCCTAATTCATTAGCCAGAAGATGCTGAGGTTTCTGGGGAAGTAGGAGAGAAAGCTCAGATCTTAACTGTTTTCAAACATAACAATAAAAGTAAAATCTACCAATCTACCAAAAATCTAGCAATCAAGGATCTGCCTAGTGTCCAGTTATGGTTCATCACTGATCAATAATAAAAACTGAGAAATTATAAACGGTTTTCAAGGTTCAATCACTCATAATAAAAAATATTCAACAAAAATGCGAAAACATTAGCGCATATATAATTACAACGGAGACTACACCACTCATCTTTAGTGCTTCCCTGAGATACCCAAGGAGCCTATTCTTTGAAAATAGACTCATAGTAACACACTATTTTCTCAAGAAAACCCTCAGCCCTCTCAACTATGCTCTGACCAACAGCAGGAAGGAACACGTTTAGCAGCCTATATATTTGAACTCACCCTTTCCCCAAAGAAGTTTCGTTCATCAAAGGAAGCACTTCTATTTTGGTCCTTATTTCCTGTGAGAAATGCAGGCATGGTGTCTGGATGCGTGGCCGTCACGCTATTTCTAACCACCATGTCCACGGTATTCCTGATGGCTTGTTACAGGAGAAGGAAAGTCTCTAACATGTCTTAAGCCATTTCTAAGGGCATATTAGCCATGTGATTGATTACCTGCAAAGAATGTAAAAGCCCGCAGAAATGATCAAGGTATATGACCTTGGTGAAGAATTAGAATACAGTGAAGGTCAGCAAAGGAGGCAAATATAATTGCTTAGAAACCGGGTTTCACGCTTTGAAGCTGAAAGGTTTGGTAGCCCCCTGTTAGTAGCTGTTAATTATGAGACCCTATGGTTATCAGACTTGTCATTAAAAGGCAAAGCATTGCTAATCAGGAGATTCATAAAAGGAAATATCACTGGCTTGGAAGATCATCAAAAACTGAACTGATAGAATTACCTTTACCTTGAGTTTCCTAGAATTTATCCTAGCTTAAGATTTACTCACTCATTCAAAAATATTTATTAATTGATCTACTATGTGCCAGGTATTGCGATAATTAGAAACACAGAGGTGAAGTACAGAGTAAGACAGAGTCCTGGTGACATTATTCCTCTGGTCTAGTTATTTCTTTCTTTCTTTTTTTTTTTTAATTAAAGTTTACTGGGGTGACAACTGTTAGTAAAGTTACAATTCTGTAATACATCATCTATATATCACATTGTGTGCTCACCACCCAGAGACATGTCTCCTTCCATCACCACATATTTGATCCCTTTGAAGAAACAAAAACTCATAGACATAGACAATAGTTTAGTGGTTCCAGAGTGTAAGGGGCGAGGTGGGTGGTAGATGAGGGTCCAGTTATTTCTAAAGGCCCAACTGCATCGCTGCTTTCCTTTGAAAATGTGAGATACCACTAAGTTTCCTTTTTACAGTAATTAAAGTTGTGTGTTTTTGCTGTTACTTGTAACTAAAGGAGTCCCACCAAACACAAATACGAAAATTGTTACTACCTGAAAGCCTAACAGGTGTCTAATTACCAAACTGAGTCTAGAGGCAAGGAAGCTCTGAAATTTGCCTTTCCTTTGTTATTCCTTTGACCTTATTCTCTACCTCAAAACCCCTCACAAGAAAACCAAACATTAATAGCTGAGTCTGTTTAAAGACTATGTGAGGGCCGGCTGAGCGGCGCGATGGTTAAGAACTGGCTTGGGACGCCAGAGGGCCCCGGTTCGGATCCCACATATGAGGGCCAGTGAGACAGCAACTTGTCTGTTCCCCTCCCCCCAATTCCCCAGTGCTGTTCCCATCCCCCCAATTCCCCAATAAAAATCTTAAAAAAAAAAATCTTTAAAGACTTGAGAAATAATCACTCTGCTAAACTTCAGCTCTAGGTACAGAAATGAAAAAGATACACGACTTGTGTTATGAGTTTCTAATTTGCAGTTCCAGGGCTAATGCCAAGAGTGATAGATTAGATATGGACAGAACACAGGATCAACTCAAGCTAGACAATGGATCATATTATTTACAAGGACACATGAAATAAATTAATTTCCTCACTGAGTACAAATTTCCTGCTTTTTATGCTGTGTTATGTCCTTTTAATTAAGGGTCCAGTTCTCTATCCAATAAACACAGCCTTGAAAGAAATACTGTCAACTGGCTTAAAAGAAAAATCTAGCCTCATATAACCTAACGTAACCCAAAAAGAGGGCATATTTATTCTCAGAAAGACAAAAATGGACTATAAAATTTAATCAAGGTTAACCAAGAAAAGGTAAAGAAATTTACAATCCATAGAAGTAGATCCTGTAATATGACTGCATTAACAATAAAATAAAGAGAAAAATTGTTTACAATGATAAGAAAAGAGTGTTTCTCAGGTTAAAAAAAAAAGGAAGACTACTGATAAAGAAAGGAATTAGGCTTTCAAATGGCAGAAATATTTCTGACAGAGAAGGAGAATCAATTGTTAGACTTGTTGCCTCTGAAAAGTCAATGAAATCCTGATAAACTGTTAGATTGTAAGAGAGAAAAGAAAATTAGAAGTTCAGCCCAGGAGGTTCTATATCTAACTAACGAAAGTTTCAGAAAGAAACGCCAGAGGAAATGGGAAGGGGGGGTGACATATGAGATACAAGTATGAAGAACAAGTCCAGATTCTGGGAGAAAAAGGAACTTTGTAGAACATGAAATTGATAGAATGCTTGATCGTGCAGAGAGATTTAGACAACAGGGGAAGTGTTTGGAATGGAAACGTGAGAAATAAATAGAATATAGGGTCACTTCCTCCTCTCTGTTCTCATAGCATTACTGTACAGATCTCTAGTCTATCATTTAAAAGCTGCATTGTAATTGTTTATTCATATATCTGCCGCTTTTCATATGTAGACAAGTACTAACTAGGAAAAGCAAAAAGTATGCAAGAAAGGATAAACAACTGTAGTTTACTGAACAGCTCAGCTGTGGGTAGTCCTTATGTTGTGATAATAATCCTAATACTCAGTCAAGTTCCAAACGAAATTACACCATAACCAGGAGAAATGGGGACTAGGAAGTATGTATGTAGGAAGTGGGTGGAGAAAGAGAGCTGAGCCTTAATTTTCCAGAGTAGAAAATCAAAAGATACTGCCTAACACTGAAAAACAAAGCAAGAATCGAGAAATACCAGTGAAAGGTAAAAAAAAAACCAAAAGAAACAGCCAAGAGTTGAAAGGGGTAGCCTTTGGGGAGTGGCAAATGCCACTGTCCTAGAACAGGTGACAGAGGACTGATATTTTTCATAAATATCCTTGAAAAGCCATCTGGCTCAAGTTTCATTGATGTTTAACAATAAAAAAAATTCAAATGAAAATAAAAAAGAAGTCAAGAAAACCAAGCAGTGCTCTGACCTTTCTCCACCTGCTCAGAGTGACCTCTGGAGACAGAATTGGGTCTGGTTTATATTCATGGAGGAGCTGAACTCAGCAGTGTTGGAGATGGGACACTCTGAGAAGGACTCCTACCAACCGCTCTGGGCCAAGCCCTGAGTGTGACGCTCAGGCCACTCTGTTCCTCAAAGCGTTTTCATCTGTAAAACTGCTTGTGACCATGAGCGAGAACATGGATACTTTTCATAGAGAAGGCTTGTCATTTCCTGGACGTGTGGCTACACGTCCATCGCTTCTGAAGTCCTAAGGCAAACTGGTGGGCAGGCTTGCGGGGAGCGGCTGCCCAATTGCTTCAGTTCATCTCCCTGACAATAAAAAAACTTCCCTGACAGATGATTCAGGTGCAAATAATGTACAAAAGCTGAATGTGAGAAACAGAAGGTAGGAACTGACTGGGATCTTTATAGCCTGCCTCCCTAACACTCAACAAAACCATTTACTGGGCTAGAAAATTTGATGATTCTCACCTCAGGAGCATAGATAGCTGTGGAATCAAGTGAATTTTAAAATAATTTATACAGAGATGGTAAGAAATCTAACATTTCCTCCCTAGGAAAAATTTCCAAGGCAATTTTGAAACAAAACTCTTCTTCAAACATAACACAATAAGAAATACACTTAATTATCATTTATAGGGTTGTAATGTTTTATGTGTGGCAGCAAACCCTTTGGAGGGAGGTGAAGTTTCAATTAAATAAAATCCGATTAAGTGACTAGGAATTCCCCAAAGTAATCATCTCTAATTATGTGAAAACAACCATGGAAATGTAATGAGACAGAAAATAACTTATATTTGCCAAACCTCCTCTAAGGGAAAGCACAATATGCAGCTGAAAGAAATATTTTCGTTCAAGCTTTTTATTTTGAAATTTTTCAAACTCATAGAAAATTTGAGAGAACAGGATATGAATACCCATATATCTTTCATCTAGATTTCAGCAATTCTTAAGATTTTACATTTGTGTTCTCTCTCACTCCATCTCTCTTCTCTTCATGGAGTGTGTGATTGTGCACACATACATGTGTTTTTTTCCCCGAAACATTTGGGAGTAAGTTGTAGACCTTTTTACTTTATCCCTTGAAGATCTCAACATGTGTCTCCTAAGAATAAGAATACTATCCTTCATAACCATGATACCATTATATGTTTAACAAAATTAATATTAATTCAGTATCATGTAGTATATAGATCGTCCACATTTGAACTCTTCCAATTGTCCCCAAAGTGTCTTTATAGCTGTTTCCATTTCATGTCCTGATCCAGGATCCAATGGAGTCCCGTACATCGCATTTGGTGGTTACATCTCTGGAATATGTTTAAGCCACAGAGCATGTCCTGCCTCAGGTGGCTAACCCCAGGACTAGCTGATGACTTCTGAGGAGAGCGGGCCCAGTTAACTGCGAAACATGTTTGTTTGTTGGTTTGTTTGTTGAAGGGCTATGAATTATGGGGCCCAAACTGAAAAGCTAAGACAACAGCAGAAGGATCACCTTCTTAAAAGTAAGGTTCTTACGAAATGTTTACGCACTCACGTAGGCTGAGAGTACAGAGTATGTCTCGAATTGCAGCCTCAGGTTTTAATAAGTGCCAAACTGTGAGCAAGGAAGGGACACCAAATAAGCTATTCAAAGTTCTCTGAGTTTGATCCTAAGTTTAGGAGAATGAGGAAAAGAAGGCACGTGTGTCCAAAATTACCTCTGCTGCAGCTGTTCGTCCGACATTTGCAGCTCCTCCTTTAAACGCGTGTACCTGTCTTGTCTCAGCAGCCTGGAGCCATCATAGAGGCTCAGCTCGCGATCATGGATCAACCTAACGGAACGGAAAGTCAGAAAGCGAAGCAATCAGCTTTGAACGGTGAAGTTATTGGAGGCGGACTCAGTTAACGTTTTGATAATGTCCATTATTACTGGCAGTTGAGTCTAACAATTGTAGATGCACCTTTCGGAATTTCAAGTTGACGCTTGCTGCCACACTTGGCAACACAGCTGGCTTGCGTACTGAGGGGCAGTACTCATGGACCCTAGATGTGAGCGGGAGCAGAAGGGGAGGAGCTGGACGGCGGGAGGAGGAGGGAGGTGAAGCAGCTGATGAGTGACTGGGAGCCCCAGCAGGTGCGTGTGAGTGAACAGGCCGTTGGCACACACTCCCTTGAGTCTAATGTAACTTTCGAAGGCATAGTATGTATTATCAAAATATTGGGTTGTCGGAAAAGTCATGACGCATTTTGGCAACGAAAAACATAAAAAAATACGTCATGATTTTTCCGACAACCCAATAGTTCGATCTGTGGAATTACAGGATTTAAAATATCGTAACTTTTTACAAGGAAACACATAGTGCTGTTTCATATTCCCACTATGATGGCGGCCTAGCCATCCCCTGCACTAAAGCACCACATCATCATCTCCCAGAGGCTGCAGAGGCTGAAAAGGACTGTTATAGGTCTCACACCAACCTCCACGTCTCCTGTCGCCCACGTTCCAGGGGCCCCACCACCTCCACTCGGTAGGGAAGGGCTGAGGGGAAGGGAGGCTGCATGTCGCAGCGCGTAGGAGTGTGGGCAGTGGAGTCCGTTGGATCTGGGTTCAAATCCAGCTCCGCATGTTATTAGCTGAATGACTGGGGGGTAGAGGGGGACAGAGATTTTAAACTTTTATCTTTTATAAAATTAGGGCAATACTATCAACCTTATATTACAGTATCGCTGTGAAAATTAAACAGCGAACGGGAGGCAGATGCTTCCTATAGTTGTTCTCTTTGGCTGCACATTGGAGTCTCCCGGAAACGGTTCGATGCACCTTCCGAAATTTCAAGCTGGCTAGTGCTGTTACACTCAGCAAAAACTGTTAGTTTCTGTATCAAAAATTTAAAAATGCCGATGTTCAGACCTCACCATGGATCATTCCATCAGAACTGGAGGAGCGGGAGCCAGGCATCAGTAATTTTTAAGTCTCACGCCCGCAAGGTGATGCCAAAGGAGAGAGCCTGAGACACACGGCCGGAGCGCCATGCCCAGCACAGGGCCAGCACTCAGTTAATGTTCGAAGCTGTTACTACTGCTTCTTGGCCTACTAGGCAAGAGATCGCTAATAAACAGGGAGCGTTATTTTGTTTGTGTCTACACTCATCTGTTTGGAAGAGAAAAATATTATAAATCTATGGAATGTTTATGATAAATTACTGAAGCCATTTTAAAAGTCTCTCAAATCTAATCAGGATTAACACAATATTTTTTTGGAATCTTTAACTACACTTGGTATGTACATTTTTTTCAAGGACAAAAAACTTTGGTTAGTTGGGGAAATGAATTATTCTACTTATTTGAACTTTCCTGGTAAGTTAAAGTTAAAAACCAAATTCTACAAGTGACAGAATCAAGATGTAACAACAACAACAAATCAGTATCATTAATCTCCCCAAATGTCACAGAATGGGAATATGTTCCCGGAAAGTTATGCATGAAGTTTTTTCTTAACATTAAGTTCAAGAGAAGTTAATTAGGAAAGTGTGGATATTTTTCCCATCTAAGCTAAGAGAACAATAGTTACACAAAGGTTCGAGTCTGTAAACTCAAAGTGAGCTGTTTCAGTTTATATAAAATATGAAACAGCTATTACACATTTTATATAAGGAACCACATTTCTCTAAAAAAAAAAATTCCAACAAGACAACCAGTAACTTAAATCTGAGATTCATAAGGAGTTTGTAGACTGTGGAGCTGTCCTTCTGACATACTGTAGAAACTTCAGCAGTGTGACTTGTCGCATACATTAACAAGCATATATAGTCTTTCAAGGTCACTACTTAAAAGTTTTCTTAAACACAGACGTTTGCTATGAAGTTTTACTGTATATGCTGTGTTTACAATTTTAAAAAAGCTGCTATTCTACTTGAATATAAAATTTTAACTTTCTAAACATTTACGCAACCCAGCTGAAAAGCAGAAGGCTGCGCGAGTTCCGCACCTCCTGTTGACTTGGGGTGTTTTGTGTGTGTGACCCATACAGACCTTTGCAGGACAGCGAGGGTGCCGGCGTTGACCCGATGGATGCCATCCAGGAGGACCAGCTTGCCTTCCAGCGCAGCTGTCACGAGGGGTGACGACCGCCAGGCAGTGTCTCCATTGGGAAGGGTGTACCTCTGCTGCAGCAGATCACGCGCGGTCATATCCTAAACCAATCCCACCAGCCACAAAAGAAAATGCGGAATTAATTTTTAAGAATGGATGGCAGCTTATTTAGCTTTATATTGGGTCATTTGCAACAGATGGCACTAGTTCATTTTTGGAAGTACCAGAGTCATTCGCATCTATGTTATTGCCATTTCATGTGACAGCTGACAGTTCTAGCTCCATTCTAAAAAAAAAAAATTGAGCAATTTGGTTGAGTTTTGGAGATTTTACAACAAGTTGAAGATGGAAGACCAAACTATGCATTTTTGCCATATTTTACTGTTTTACTTCTATAAAGGGAAGAACATGCATCAAGCTTGTGAAAAGTTACATAAAGTTTACGGTGACAATGCTGTAAAAGAACATCAGTGCCAATGATGGTTCACGAAATTCTGTGCTGGTGATTTTGATCTTAATGACGCTCCTCGGTCAGGGAGGCCCACCGAGGTTGATGATGACAAAATAAAGGCATTGATCGAGTCAAACCCATGTTACACAACACGAAACATTGCAGAAACATTGAATATCCATCATTCAAGCGTTCACGACCACCTGAAGAAGCTGGGATACATAAGCAAGCTCGATATTTGGGTTCTGCATGAACTCAAAGTAGTTCATTCGATGGCGCATATAAACATTCGTAATATGCTCGTTAAATATGAGGAAAACGATCCTTTTTTAAAGCAACTGATAACTGGTGATAAGAAGTGGATTCTTTACAACAATGTGGTGTGCAAACGGTCTTGGTCCCGACATGATGATTCTCCTCAAATGCCATCGAAAGCAGACATTCATCAGAGGAAGGTTATGCTCTCAGTGTGGTGGGATTTTAAAGGTGTCATGTTTTTCGAGCTCCTACCAAGGAACCAAACAATCAGTCTGAATGTGTACTGTCGGCAGTTGGACAGTTTGAATGAATCCAACATCCAGAAACGTCCAGAGCTTGTTAATTGTAAAGGAGCTGTGTTCTATCGCTGTGAGAATGTGAGACCACATACAAGTTTGATCTTCCATCAAAAGTTATTGGAGCTTGGATGGGATGTGTTGTCACGCCCACCACACTCGCCTGACCTTGCGCCGTCAGACTTCCACTTGTTTCGCTCTCTTCAAAACTCCTTGCGTGGTATAACGTTCAATTCAGATGAGGCTGTAAATCAGCACCTCGTTCAGTTTTTCACCAATAAAGACAGGTCCTTCTATGAATGAGGAATTATGAAGTTCACTGAAAGATGGCAAAAGGTTAGCGAGCAAAACGGACAATATGTCATTGATTGATCTTTGTTCTTTATATAAATGACCTTTGAAAAACAGACAAAATACATCATGGCTTTTCCGGCAACCCAATAGTTACCTCTCTCTTAACATCCCGTACAAAAACTGGGAAGTTATCCCCCATCCATCAAAGAGAAAGATGTTCAGAAGTTTTTCTTGGTCATTTGAGGTTTTTACCTATTACTACTCATCCACATAATATAGTAAGAGTGAGGTTTTTTTTTAAAAAAAACTCTTGGTACTAATTATTCCAGAAAAAGATTCACTATAGAATTATATCACATATGGTTCTAGAGAATAAAACAAACAGAAAGCATGCTTTGGCAGCGGTTCTAAATCAAAGATACATATCAGAAAGGGCTGGGGAACTTTTGCAAACACATGAGCTTAGGCCCCATTACCCTGAAAATGTGGATTCAATACATCCAAGGTGGGGCTTCCCACCTGTTTTTTATTAAACATTACATAGGTGATATCTGCTATGCCTCCCAGGCGGGAAATACAAAAGAGACATTAAGTTACTGTAAAACTTTGTCTCATCTTATTTATTTTTCACCCTTTCCTTCAAATAGGAATTATGAGATTGCATGAGCATATACAAAATCCTTAACAAAAATGGCATAAATTAAAAGTTAAAATAAAATGAAGAGAAAAGGAAGAGCGGGCCTTCTTACTTTAAGAATTCCTATTTGTTATTCAGAGAAGAAGTAACATGAAGATGGCATCCCACTGACATCATAGTTTTAAAGAAATGGACGGGTATTAAAGGGCTTGTGAAAATCCCGGCTTCAGACTGAGAAGAGGTGATGTCATGCTGACCCAAACCAGCTCCTGAGGCTTTCACCTGGACCCAGGAATGGCGAGGAGGAATGACTCTGGCAGAAGAGGGTCAGGCTCCTAAGGGGCGAAGGCTAGCTAGCCATTGGTAACTTTCAAGAAAAAAAAAAATTCAGCTGAGAAAATTCCACACTCTCATACCAACACATCGTGAATCAGCGTTCGATATGAAAAAGCACTCCTTCCTTTGGTCATGATTCCAAAGTACTTCCATATCTTGTTAATGCATACAGTGTCTGCAATACTTGGCCCATTCAAGTAAGTAAATATTTACTAATAATGACGATGAGAAAGTTAATCAATACACCAGGCTCCTCTTTTCCAACCTAGCAGCTGGAGGCTCCTTGAGATTTAATGAAGTAAACAAAACGGTTACTTGTTCCTACAACAAGCAGTAACAGGTAACAGGACTCAAAGCCATTAGCGCCAACAGCAAACGCAGACCAGAGAGCCTCTCCTATTTTTCAGTCTTCGGAGGGATAGGAAATGGCAACTGCCGGCATTTCTCAGAAGACGAGCTCAGTTCAGTTTTGTCACCTAAACTCTGGACATGCTACCATGTTTAAAAGAGCTATTCTTCATTTCTGATACATCTTTGAGTTAAAATAAACCCCATTTAAAGAGGAAATAAAGCATTTCCTTTAATACAGTTGCTGGTTTTCATAATTAAGATCCTATACTGAAAAAAAAGATGAAATTCTAGCTTTTCCTTGAAGAGATAATTGGCCCCACTGTCCACAATACTAGTTATAATAAAAAATTCTTTTCATTGATGTGAAAGTTATTTTCAATTGTGTGAAAGTGCATGGACAGCAAAGTAAAACTGAACTTTCACAGAAAAACTGAAGCTAAGCAAAACTAATTAACAGAACTTTTTCAGTATAGTCTGAAATGGGTTCGTGACATGAATTAATTTCAATAATAAGCTAATTGTTAAAATAGAGTGACAGCATTTTCAAGTGATTCTGTCTATAGAATATTTGAGTTTTAGTACCATGAAATTGTTTTAATCTTTTAACATATACTACATTATGAAATTGTTAAAAATATATCATTTCCTTATTCTTCCCACCTACACACACATCCCTAAAGCAGATGGAAAAGCCAAGTTTTAAAAAGTGTGCTTACTCCATATGAGCATTTTAAAAGTACGCTAATAAAAATCAAGAAAGATGAATGTCTCCATCTTTGCTTATGTTTTCTTATCCCTGAAACCTTTGAACTTAAGAGAATAAAAATAGTGCTAATGATATCCTAAAGCCAGAGCCATTTCCTCTTTCTGCATTTCCTTAAAAATTTTAAAATAACAGGACATGAAATCTAGTTCCTTTAGAGCTACCATTGTCTAACCTCACCCTCATTCAGATCCCTAAAAAATACCCATTTATTTCTTAAGAGTCTATGTCATTTGGAGTCGTTTGATTTGCAACAAAGAAACCCTTCTGAAAATAAAACTGTCCCATTAAAATGAGATGAAGCATAACTGAATGAAATGTATCAGAGAGTACAGATTTGAACCCTAAGCAATTAAATGCCTTTTAATAGTCCACAGTAATTTTTCTGAGATTCCCTTGGGAGACCTGGATATGTCATTAGTTGCAAAAAGTGGTTGTGTGTTGAGTGGCTAGAATCAGATTAAAATCCGTTTTCCAAGGTATAATATTCAGGACAACAGAAAATATTACAGTAAAAATTTTAGTGTATAAAAAAATTTGAGCTACCTCTCTCTTTAAATACAAACATTCTTACAAAAGCAAAATTTTACATAATAATGGATATGTATAATATTTTTCTGACAAACTTTAAATGATTATAGCAAAAGCAGCATAGCAAAAGGTATAAAGAGTATCATTTCAACGAGGTTAAAAAAACAACACCCATTTCCACACGTATACGAACTCAGAAGAGTTTCAGAAAGTAATTAAATTGGCTTGCAAAAATATGTATAATGTATAGTAAAATTTTTAAAAAGTGGATAAAGAAAACTAAACAGGGAAGATGAAATCAAGAAAGGTAAAGGTGATACACAAAATGCACTATAAGAAAACCTAAAAAGTGAATCTAATCTTTCTAATATCGAACACAAGAAAGAGTGACATAAAAAAATTACATAAATCATAATAACCACAGTATTGACACCAAAAAAGCATCACTACAAGTTTTGATAGTGAGATTCAGAAAAATTTGTGCCATGGGTCAAATCATCATATCAAGAACAGTGTGCTAACGAGTTACTAGAAATAATAATTATAGCAGCTAATGAAGAGCTTACTAGATGCCAAGTACTTTACATAAATTAACTCCCGTAATCCTTATAACCCTAAGAGAGGGGTGCAATTATTGTCTTCATTTTGCAGATGAGAACACTGAGTTACAAAGAGGTTAAATAGCTTACATAAACACAGCTAATAAGCAGAGGAGCTGGGAGACCTCAAGACTGTTACTATGACAAACACAGCAACCAATTTCAGTAAAAGAAATCCCATAGAGAAAGAGCTGGTCTGGACTAATCAATCCATGGATATATTGTAGTTAATACACCAGCTGTACACCTCTCAGGCTACCCTTCGCAAACACCGTTTCTCAATCAAATTTTTGAGAAGCGTCAGAAAGTAGTGACTATGATATTGACCACTCCCCAAAATGCCCCCAAAGGCAGCTAGTCTCTATTACTATTAAAAAATGTCTTGAAGTACATATACAAAAGAGTGAAATAAAAATGCTTTAGTTAACAGTAATTACATCTCTAGGTGGATATGATTCTTAATTTTCTAATTTCTGAATTAAAAATGTAAACAGTGGGCATTTAATTTGTTTTGTGATTGGGGTAAATAAGTATTACAATTTTTTTTCCCCAGAAGAAACTAGCTGTAATTCTGTCTGCTTTCCA